CAGTAAGTGCTCAGGAATGCAAAACCAAGCAGTTCTTCCCCCAAGTCTGAGTTAAGGTTGGTCCAGGCAATTGGGAACTTCATTCCTGATCACTCTCCAGAAATTTAAAAGCATAGTCTCTTTGACTATCAGAACCTATTACTCCACTGACAGGACCCTCAAGGAGCCAAACCAAGAGAAAAAAGTCCCAACACATATAAACACATTCCTGCGCATAAACACAGCATTCCCAGATAATAGGGTCAAATGGGTTTGGCCCCGGCAAGAACATGACCATCTTCGAAAGTGCTGGCTTTCTACCTTTGGACCCAGCTGAGCAGTAGTAGCTACTTTTCAATTGCTGGATAATGAAGGCTACCAAAGTTTTGCCAACCTAAAGCTTCCTTTGATTTTTTTAGCTGGTTATTAAGAAACAAAAGCTTTGGAGAGTACCTTTGCCCCTTTCTCCTTCCCTCCCTAGGAGATTCAGATGGAAAAAACCTGTCTCAGGAAGAGAACCTTGACATACTCACCTCAGCGTTAGACAGGAAGACCCCAAGCCTGAGCATGCTTACTGCATTCCCACAGCCTCCCACTGTCCCTGAGTCACCCGGCAAGAATGTGCCTGCCCCGGGTCCTACTCCTCCTCAGCTACCTGCAGATCGCTTATTCTCACTTATGAAATCTAAGACCCCGTTCCCCCCCACACACTTTTGCTCCTTTGTGCAAAATGTCATAGTTACCTAGTGTTGCCTCATTGTTTTCGGATTTTTCATGCTTATGCAAATCCCCATGCAGGAGTATCAAAAAATTGATNACGAAATCTAAGACCCGTTCCCCCCCACACACACTTTTGCTCCTTTGTGCAAAATGTCATAGTTACATAGTGTTGCCTCATTGTTTTCGGATTTTTCATGCTTATGCAAATCCCCATGCAGGAGTATCAAAAAATTGATTTTCTTTCATTAATCTGTTTCTGTTCATTTATTAGCCCAGCTGAAGAACTTAGAAAGTGGGGGGGAAAGCATTCATTTTTCAGCCCCACAATAGCAGACAACATTCAAGCACTAGACTCCAAAGCGAAGGGCTTGGGGGAGAGAAGGAGCTTGGGTTAAGCCAAACTGCCATTCAATTTACTGCAAGCTTCAAAATATTACCAACTCTCTGTTTGAAATGCGTCAGCAACGGTTCATTTTTTTTCTTTTTATCAAAACACATTTAGACTGTGGTGAATGACAGCATAAATCTTAAATAGAAAAGATACAGGGGGGAAAAAAGACCACCCAGGTAGAACATAACTGTAAATGTGTCCATATATTTGAATTCTGATCTTATACACAGAAATGCATTTAACCTTCCCAGCAAGACGCTTTCACCAACTTCCAAAGAAAGTGTTACCAATTAAGCTAAAGAAACTTTAAGAGTCAATTTTAATTACACCAAGAGATGCTCCAATCACTTCCCAGCTCCAGTTGAAGTTTTTACTAGAGATGGCTGGAACCAATTTACATGCTTTCATGTTGCGTCTAGACTTTAATAAGCGGTTTAAGCATGAAGCAAGCCAATGCCAGCATCCAGCAGGCTGCAGAGTACCCTGCGCAAGAAATACAATAGCCCTCAGGTTCCCTCCCAGGCCCTTCTTGCTGCTATCAGAGAATCTCTCTCTCTGCTATGTGGTTTCAAAAGCAACAGGATCCAGTCTTTGTGATAAGATTCACGGCCCTTTAACCTACTTCAGGTTTTCCTCTGCCTCTGAATACCGAGTGCCTCATAAGGTCCTTCATTCTAGCCTTTCTCTTATTCTTATGATCTAGGGAAACAAAGAGAAATGATTTGGGGGCAGGTGCGCCTCCCAGGACAGATCAGCTGGAGGTAGGAGTCCAGGGGCTGTTTCCTATTAGCTGAGAGAACTTTGGGAAGTCAGGTGACCCTCTTGAGCCTCCATTCCCACATCTGTAAAATGGGACTCCTACCTCAAAGGTCTTGTGTGGATGAAACACAATACTCTCCTAAGTCGGTCAGCTTCTGTGAGGACGCCTGAGGTGAGCATTCATAAACCAGTGATCTATTCAAGGGAGTGCTGTCAGGAGAAACCAGGTTGCTGGCCAGGAAAGGGGTAGGAGCCAAGCAAGAGTTGAAATTTCCTACAAATATCCAGCCTCTGCCTGATCCCATGGGGAGCTCGAGGGCAAAAAAAGTTTTACCTCAAGAGACTGTCCTGAAGTGAGGCGAAGATGCTAGGTTTTCACAGTCCCACCCCTGTCAGTCTTTGGCTACAGATGTCAGGCTGGGGTGGGCTGGAAATGTTGACTCTCAGGTCCTCATGGCTCTCGATGTGGGTGAGACAACTCCACGTGCCCAGAAGCAACCTTCTGAAGGTCATAGATTAAGCTGTTGGCAGAGTTGGCATAGGTGCACCTGGCAAGTAAAAAGGATCCGGGCAGGGTACCACCCCTCTTCGCAAACTGTGTTGGGGGAACTATCATACCAATAACTACACTAGGTGCTCAGTTAATGTCATTTTGTTCTTTTGTTATATATACATTGTTCAGAACCGATCAACGATGCTAAGTGAAGGCTTACCGTACTAAAGGTTTTGAATTAGATATCTCTTACAAAGCACTTTGCATGCATTTGCTAATAACTTGCAAGTAAGTATGTTCAGTCACTATCACCATTGTGCAGTTGATAAAACTGAAGCTAAGATGGACAAGGTAAATTGCTTATACATAACCCTAGAGGAATAAAGCTGGGTTGAGAACCCTGCTCCTGTTAACTCCAGAGGCCAGAGACCATTTCCTAACTACTGTATTATTGCTATCTCCAAAATCCATACATTTAGAGGCAAATGGCAACCATCTTCACAGGTCTGAGCACATAATGGAATGCACACAACTGACAGGTTTTAGACACCTGGGAGAAACAAAACTCCAAACAAAACCCTGCGGCAAGGCTTACGTAGCCCACAGGCAGAGAGTTTGAGATTTGAATCCTCCTCATAGCTGTCTTATCTTTCTCTTAATATCAGAGGCTCCATAGAGAATCTGGCCAACATCAACTTAAGTTAACTGTTTAAGTCTGTGGAGCCCATATCTCCAATATTTACTGTAAAGGATAGTAACTTACAGGAGGAAGAAAGATGATCTCGGCCCTCGGTGACCATCACACACATTAACTGTGAAAAGTGCCCCCTCGAGTTGCCCGGCACATCTGCTCGGCATGAGCCTTATCACCTTTGAGCTAAATGAGCAGACTGCTGAGCGTCGTGGGGTTGCTCTCTCTTGATCTGACACTGACGTGATGACCACAGATCTCTTTGGACATCACTGTATATCACGTAACTGCTCTCAGCCAACAACAATCTTGCTAACTCCTAAAATGACCATTTATGGACTTATTCTATACGAGAGTTCAAAGGCATAGGTGATAAGTTTTCCATTGTGCTATACGAAGCTTTTGACAGTTTAAAACTGACAGGTGAATATCAACAAGTTCATGTGGTTCAACCTCATAGGTCACTGAGAGGAAGAGAAATGAAGAACACCTCTTTAGTTTTATTTGTAAATCTTCATGGTTTTTCCAAATGGTCGAATGATGTACAATATGAGTAGATGGGCACAGCTGTTTGTTTGTTAAAACCAATGCTCTCCTTCACCAGAGTGGTGGATAAATGACAATGAATAAAACTAGAAGCAAACAGTCTAGAAACTTCAGGCCACCCAAACATTTTAGCTAAACAAGAAGAGGAGTTTGATTTGCATTTCCTCTAAGTGGCCTTATGGAGGCGGTCTTAGCTGGTGGGCAAATAGGCCAAAGGAAGGTGGCGAAAGAAGAAAAAGAAAGAAATCATGAGCCTTGGTAACTTTCAGACTAGAAGACAAATGCTGACTGTACCTTGAGGCACCCACCCTCCTTTCCTCTCATGCCTGCTACTGCAGCTCAAGATGGATTGCACATATCAATTACAGCTAATCTATGTAATTATGAAACTTGAAAACTCAAGAATTCAAAGGCAAAAATCCCAACTGTTCTGCTCTGTCACTAACAAGAGTTATAATCACTAAACCTTCAGGCCAAGAGTGACAGGCTGCGTATCTTCCAGGCGGTGGCAAGTGGATTCCTAGGTGGTACCTGCCTAGGCACTGAATGGAGGAATCTCAGGAACCAGCGAACGCCATGACTGATTGTTTATGTCTCTCAGGGACATGGGAGAACTAGTGCTCATACATGTTCCACACAGTTGTCATCCATGACCTAGGCATTGAGCCTTCTAGACCTCAGTTTATTTATCTGTACTGGAAATATGCTACATATGAGAATCCCTCCATGTCTAACACTTTGGAATTTTTTTCTAGTTAGCTATAAATGTGATCTCTTTCTTGATATTCTGTCACACACTTTTGGTTACTCCAAACTTTTTATTGCAAAGGGAAAGGAGCAGCAACCCAATGATAGCTTCCCTATTTCTTATTTCTTATAATCTTCACAATTTGAGTTACCTCTCCTATCTTCCTTATACCTCAGCTCAGACCAACTTTATTATGTTGCTTTAATAATGTAATAACAGCAGGTGCCCCATGTCATGCCTTTCAATAATATCCCAGAAACCCTTGTCACATCCCCACCTCTCTAAATCTGCTACAGAAAATTTAACAGTTTGCCACCAGTAAGTCTATTACCATCATTCTTGCTATCTGGGAAATGACCACTTTTAGTTATTGAAGTAACTAGATGGGACTTGTGATGAGACTTCACAACAATATTGATTAGCTTCTTCCCCACAAACATGACAAAAGTAATAATGATAGGAGCTTCAAGTTATTGAGTCTCATGAGGCACTAGGCCCTTACACATAGTGTAAGGAACATAGACCCACCCAAGTCAAGTGTTTGTGCTGGACAGCACTTGGTACGTTTAGATCTGCCAAACCTGCAATCCCTGTATCAGTCAAGGTTCCAACAAGCAAGACCTGGCCCACTCAAAGGGTTCATTGATGGGAGTTGGATGAAGGGACTACTTACAAAACTGGTCAGAGTTCAGGGAACCAATTAGGGATGGTGAAGCCCCCAGGATCCAGCAAAACTGCCATTACCCTGCAGGCTGAAGAAGAAAACTGTTACTACAGTGCTGGAGAGAGTTGTAGCTATGGTAAAGGGGCTGATGGACAGAGGCTGAGCACTGTCTAAACCATAAACAGGTGAAGAATAAATATCCCAACTTCTCTCTCCCCCAACACCTTACCTCCTTCTAATGCTTACAATTAGCTAAAGCCAAGAGGAAATAAGACAGCAATGAAACACAGGCAATATAGTTTATAGAAGTCAGCCCCCAGGACACATAGCAGGGCAGAGAAGAATGGAGAATGGATCTGGAGGGGCAAATGGAAATGATCAAGCACAGTCCCCTATTGAATAAAGTAACCATGTTGGATGTCATGTGGCCCTGTTGGCCTGGCCGCTGAAGATGGTTCCAGGGATTGGATCCTGGATTGGAGCCAGCTCTGAGGAAGCCTGGCATGGGAACTCTGACCAACAGGGGGCTCCCTATCGGGCGGTAACCTTGCAGTTCAGTGGAATCCTCTCTGTTGGTGAGGTTTGAATGCAAGCCAAGGACAGGGAAAGAGATCGAAAGGGCAGAAGGGGAGGAAAAGCCATGAAGGCAAAGTGGAGGCAGGCATGCAGAGAGATGAGACAAAAGGAAACTGTGCTGTGAATATGGACGGCATCTTATGGAGGGGCTGCTCTATTCTGCATGGTGACCATTTGCCACATTTCCTTACATGCCTGTGTCTCTCATACTAATCCCTGACCACCAGTGTAACCTGAGCTCGCCTTTGATCCTTACAACCTGAATGGCTCCAACCAGCAAAATGCAATTACCCTGATTTTACAGTTGAGCTAATTGAGCAAAAAGAATTAAGAATATACCTGAAGTGACACAGAAAATAAGTACTTGCAAAGGAATGCAAATCTGGTTCCATCTGTCACAAGCCCATGGGCTGGCTCTCCACGGAGACACATTGCCAGTTGCAACCCAAGACAGAGCTGTCTCAATAGCAGAATTAAGGACAACAGTTTTCTAATTTTCCCAAGAAAATGCCCAAATGATTGTAGATTTTCTGCCTTTTCCAGTTGATAAATGTCCATGATATTTTTATTTTTTTGGTCTAGAGCTCACAGCCTTTTAAGAGCCATTCATAATGGTCTGCATAACTCAAGGACGCTAAGAGCACCATCTCAGGGTTGTTGGCAGATGCTCCTGGCTAAAAGGCTTTCTGGAATGTAAGAGAAAAATATTTCCAACCAGTTTCCATCTTCTTCCCTAGATCCCTCGAGACCTGAATGTGACCCTCACACGGAACAGCATGTGGCACATCTTCCATAACAAACAACATTTCCACTTAGGAAGGACAGAAACTATTTCATTATGTGCTTAATAAAAACAAGGTGCATCTTTCATTGCTTCAGCTCCTAGAAGTAATGGAACCATAACAAAGCCATCAGAAGACTGGTGGTAGCTGAAGAACAAGAAATCTGAGGAGAAGATGTCAAGATCTGCAGGTTTCTAAGACCACCTGCCTCCTGGGGACAGTGTAAGCATGTGCCCGATAGTCCCCAAATGGTCCCTTTATGGTCATTAATTTGATGAGAAAGTTCATTCCCACAGGTCAAGCTTCGCAATGAATATTGAGAACCCAGTTTAACGGTGGAAAAAGCTCTAGAATGTTTTTCCACATTCAAACCAGGGGCTTCCTTATCAAGTTCATCAAAACGTTTTTTTTAAAAATATATAAACGTCTTACCAATTTGCCCAGGAAGAATAAATCTTCACAGCCACCTCAAAGGCTTGACAACTTTATTTTCATTGTGTGGAGCTGGGTGGGTCCCCTGAACTGGGCTTCCTAAAGAGACCCAGCCCTTCTCCCAATAGTCTCCAGGCCTGCCACTCCAGCGAGAGTGATCAAAGGGGGAATAAAGCTAAAATAACAGATTTGTTTCTTGGCTTCTCTCTTAAATGTGTTCTGCCTGTTTAAAGCCCTGTAAGGAAACGCTCTGGGGCCCTGGATGTGAGAGAGGCACATCTAAACCCTTTCCCAAGAGGAAATCTCTCACCTCGGTGGGGTAAATTAGCTCATTAAGAGCAGCCAGGAGCAGGCAGGAAACCTGGGAAGTAGGAGCTTTAATTCAAAGCACAGAAAATTACAGATTTCTTTACACATTAAAAAAGCATTTATCTTGGCTAAAAATGAAACGACTTTTCAATGATCAACACATGGTTTAAATCTGCTTTGCTAATTTATATCTATCCACCAGTCTGTCTACTTGCTCAGCTACCAGGAAATTCAATTATATTCAATCAATCTTGGTTGAAAACCTACTATGTGCCTATGGCACATTTGTGAATTGCATAAACACAACAAAAATAGAACGCAGGTGTCTACCTTCTTGCTCAGGGCATTTGCACTTCACTTCTCAACAAAAAGAGAGTATTTTTGATATAGCAGCATTGAGTTCAAATGGAAATAATGCAAATATGGCATGTTAAAAAAAAGCATTGCAATCAGTGGAATCAAGTGCTAAGAAGTGTAGAGGGAGTAATGGGTCAAGGGGAGACAGGAGATTGAATAAAAGAGAGTGAAGTTTCCCTGGAAGGTTTCCTAAACAGGACCTGGACTGACCCTGAAAAGGGTTTTGAGTGGCCTCAAGAAGATCTGGCTTTAGTCTCTGCTCTGCTCCTGGGACCTCAGACTAGTCCAGGTTTCTGGACCTTAATTTCCCCCTTTAGAGTGAGTACATTGGGCTTGAATTGTCACTTGCTCACTCATTCATTCACTATTTATTCAAAACCAACTACCCATGCTCTTTAGGAGGAAGACCCCAGGCATGACAGAAGCCTCTGCTCTCCAGGAAATGTTCAGATATGCATGATGCATGAAAGCCCCTGTTGGTATCTCCTGTTCACTTATCAAGCCACTAAGTTTGGCTCTGGGGAAACAGGACACGGGACAGGTAAACCTTGCTGAGAGAAGGGGCCAAGAAAAGTGTAAAATATGGCAATCACTTGGCATCTACTAGGTTTGTGTGGTGACAGGATGAGGTGGGGTGGAAATAAACCTAAATGGTTGGTGACAAGACTCAGAGGCAGTGGAGAGGCTCAGAGGAGAGCTGCAATTTGCAAAAAGCTTTCACTGTTCACTTGAGGCTGGCGTGGTGCCCTGAACACTGCGGCCAATTGACAAAAGGCCAGGAACAGACATCAGGAGCTTAGGGCTTTGTTCCGGTTCTGTTTGTGGGTGCCGTTTCTTACATTGCTTGAGTCTGTTGAACTTCAGGTTCTACACTAGTAAAATAGGGTTGATCAAATGTATGTACATCTTTCCCCCTCACATCTCAAAAAGAATTTGGAGAAATTAATAATAATAATAATAATAATAATAATATTCCACCATACGCAGTATACTAATTTTCCATCAGTTTTCACTTATTAGCTCTGAGCAGAGTCCGTGTGACTAATTTTATTTCAACATAGTACCAGCCTCTTTGAAAACGGTACCATGTGCAATTAGGAGTTCAAAATTATTGTGAGGAAATTTATGAAAATTTCCCTATTGGAGCAATTTCACAGCAGCCCTTGGATGGAAGTACATCCAATGCTACTTATAAAAACACAACAGTACGGGCACATTTGAATAGAACATGCTTCGCTGGAATGATTTAAACCATAATTAAACATCTCACATCATCTGCCATGGTTTAGATTAAATAAAATAAGGAGTGTGAACATCTGATGAGTTTACAGCACATGCCCCTCCTGCTTGACACTTCCATCCAATCTGTTGACACCATTCCTGGATGTAAAAGGAATTCTAATCAAATACATGCCCATTCCAATTTGAGACCAAAAAATCATGGCGGTTTATAGAAAACTTCCTTTCTGCACTGACCCACAACCCAAACAAAAGGTCAGAATCACTTAAGTTGCTTCAAAACGGACCGTTGTGACATAAGGCAGCAATGCGGTATGGATGGAAGCCCATGCAATTCCTTTGCAAGTTGCAGAGCTAAGTAAACACTGTGAAAGCCTGCTATTGTTTACTCTGATATCATAGTCAACACTTCGGAATCATTAGTTTCAGGCCCTTGGGTAAAGCTGTATTTTAAACTCTCTATTTCACAGTCAAGGTCGACTTCTATAGCCAGCAGATCCATACCCTCCTCTCAGATACACATGTTCAGCTCTCACAGGCATCAACAGGAGGGTCTCCTGAGACCCTGAGGCAGGATGAGAGCTCCCTCCCTCTCTCCCCTTTTGCCTGAAGGGTAAATGCTAAGGAGTCAGAGTTTGGGGTTATCAAATACTGAAGGCCAGAATCAAGAAATAATACATTCAAATGGAACTACACAGGATCCCCAAATTTCTTGACCACAGAAATTTTACGAATACGAAATAACTAATTGTTATTATGTATTTATATATTATGTATACATATATATAATTGTTATGACGTGTTAAATTATCTTCTCTCCAAGTGTCCCAACTGAGACACAAAATCTTCTGCTTTAAATGCCATCCATTTCTGAAGAGTGTACTGGCCATCTATTATCATTGGAGCTTAAACTAATTACTGTGGTACATGGCTCTCCTGGCTTTCATATTTGCACAGAGAATTTATATATGTAAGTTATTATATATATAATTGTTGCTCTAGAAGGCAGGAATTTTCTACCTCAGCCATCCAGCCAGTGACATTAAATAGTGGGGTGACTTTCATGCATCAGCGAAACTCTCTGACATACATTCTCATTTCTTTCATTTAAAAAGTGACCCAAAAAAGACTCAATGCTCTAAAATTCTGTGATGTCTGAGAACCAAATGAAAGAATCTAACTGCAAAAATAATCTAGTCAACAAGCATTGCTAGAGGAAAGTATAAACTTAAAATAAAACTTCTGGGGCAGGATGATTATCTTCAATTTTGAAGGACAGGACATTAATCATTAACAGTGCACCACTGGGAAAGAGATAGATTAAGTAAGTACTAAGGTGACTTAGGTGCAGCTCCAAGCAGCTAGATTAGTACAATACCCACCTATAAATTAACCGAATGTGTGACCAAGGCCAGCCAAACCTAAACTGCCTGGGATTAGGGAAGGGAGAGAGCACACAGACACAGCATGTATAGAAAATTCTCTGAGGTCAGGACTTGCACCCCAGGCACTGTGATAAGACCACAAATACCGCAGTCAAGGCATGTCTTCATTTTCAACAGACTGGGTCTGTTTGTAAGTCATACAGGAGGTATATTCTGCACAAAGGATTGGAGTCTTAGCCAGCCCACAGAGCCTCAACAAAGAACCCCCTGAAGTACAGTAGTTATAGAACTGTTTCAATGAGCCCGCAGGCTATAGGTAAAAATGCTTCCAATGAAAAGTATCTTCCAAGTACTAGGAAGAAAGCAGTGATCTCCTCCCTACTCACCCCCCACCGACACGCACAGTAGGTAGGTAGTTTCTTTTATTCTCAGGGACTTTTTAAAAATGGGAGCTAATTGTTTAGCTATCTTGGATATCTCAGTTGGACCCTGGTGGCAGATGATCCCTTTTCCATGGGAGTAAAAGTTCTGTGGATTGGTCAAGGCCACCGGCCCAACCATGGCAGTCATCGATCAATGTATCAATCTCAAAAAAACTATGTGGAGTAAAGATCAGACACAAAAGAATATGTTCTGTATGATTCCAAGTGTATGAAGTTCTAAGCCAGGCAAAATGAATCCACAGTGATAGAAATCAAAGTAGTTGATTTTGGCAAAGGGAACAGGACTATCTGATAAGGAGCCCAAAGGAACTTTCTGGGGTAATGGAAATGTTCTGTGGGTTACATATGTGCATGAATTTGTCAAAAATGATTAAACTCACACTAAAGATATGTGCATTTTACTGTAAGTAACTTATACATCAATTGAAATATATGGAAAGAAATAAATAGATAAGCCTGGGGAGGGAGATGATGACATATAGATGAAAACGACACTACTTTAATCCTCAAGGACTTTCCAATGATGGGGAGACACTGTCTGAGAAGGTCAAAGAGCGTGGGGAAGAGGGGACAAAGCTGCTGAACACATTTTATAGCATATGTGTGGTCTTCTTTTTTAACCCCTGATGACTAAAAAGTACTTTCCTAAAAATCATTTGAATGGGTAATCCTCAGTCTAAATTAACTGTTGGGATGTTCACCAGACAGTGAACATCAAGATTACAAACTTCAATGTCACTATTTTGGTGTAGACTACTTTATACATCATGTCCCAAGGGCTTCCAGCTTTAAGATTATCCATTGCGCTGAGGTCACAAAGCCCCATTAATCTTTTCCGTAAGGCACAACCTGAATGGGGCCGGGGGCCACGAAAACACCTCCCCCACTGCCCTGGTCCTATACCCCAAATGCCCACATCACAAATTCCTCTGTGCTAAAGCAGAGATGGGACTAAAGGACCCAACACCCCACATCTTACTCACATTCTGTCTCTAACCCAAGATATTTGAAAACCTGGTCTTCCCTTTGAAGAAATGCTCCCTCAAGAGACACTTTTCCTATCCACCTGTGAGCTTTCCAGCTTTATTTCCTACATCCTCAAAAACACACCTCATCTGATAAATTCATCTCTCTTCCCACAGACTGAATCTAGACTATGAGATGACCCAAACTCCCGGAGCCTAAGGCGGGAGACTGGAGCACACTCACGTCTGGAGACCAAGCAGGAGAAACCAGAAGGCTGATCAGAGGCCTAAAAACACTCCGATTCCTAGACGTTTCGATTACTCTTCTGCAGCCATTGTCTGTTGACCATAAAAACCTCATGTCGGTGCCCTGTCTGAACTGTTCGGAGACACTGAGCACCCAG